AACTGCTTTGAACTGGATTATCTGGCAGTGTAGACACAAATAATCCAGTTCAAGGCAAATAATGTGGATTATCTGCATTGATATTCTGGATTATACGGCAGTGTATAAGGGACTTTAGACTGCTTGCCTTTCATTTCAGGCGCTGTCTTTGCAATGGTGCTGCTGCTGCTATTCCTGCCACTTGCCTATCTTTGATGTTTAGCTCAAATAAGCCTCTTGACGATAGAAACTGATTTTTCTCTCTACCGCCATGCTCAACACTTACAGGTTTTACTGGGAGTGAAGCAGGCTTATCCCATTACCACCAGAACTGGTGACCCTTACAGGTTTTACTGAGGGTTAAGACCAGTCTGAGCCTTAAAGCTTTATGGCCTTTAGGGAGATCTTGTCGATTTGCATTACTGCTGCAGAAATCCCTCATGATAAACTACTGATCAGGAGTAATTGTAATAGTATTTCTTAAAATGGTAACTTACATATATTTAATTGATGGGAACATTAAATGGAAATTTGATTTGAATATTTGCTTCCTCACAAGTAAAATTAAATGGGCAATACAATAATATTTGCTTTGTTCCACAATATGAATGTGCAATATAATGCATGTACTTTGTGAAGATAATAAATGTGCTTGCTGGCAGACCACATGAATACAAAACTGAACACAGACAGAAGAGGAATGGTTTTTTTTTTTTTTTGGTTTTTTTTAAAAAGAATCACAATGATAAATTTATAGCAGGACAACTCCGGCTACATAATGGTGACCCTTTGTGTCTTTGGCAACCTTGATTCACTACTTTGTTTTTATCTCACACAGGCCATAATTAATATCCATATTGTCAAATCTCATTTCTCATGACAGTTGAAGGGTCTATCCTCAGCATCTATTGGCCTATCACCTTTATCCAATCTTCTTTTGCCATCAAAAGTGTTTATAAGTAATGAAGGCTTCATAGAAGTGGACCATACAGAAATAATAATAGAACAGCTTGTTTCTTCCAATTTGTAAAACAATGGGGATACACTACTGTGTGTCACAAATTCTTCTTTATCAAGTTGGCTTTTAAGAATATGAAATACACTTCTTATGTATACATACTGATGTAGTCTGTTTTAGCATTTAAACATACAAAGGAATCCAGTGGCACCTAACTTTCTAGTATATGCTTTCACTGACTACATACCACTTTATGAGATGGGTATTCCAAGAAAGTTTATGCTAGAAATGTCTTTTTCTAGTTAGACTGATGTTTATTTTCATATTAGGGGGAAAACAGATATTGTAGAATATGTTTGTTAGAGGTTGGACAAAGTTTGTCACAATAATGAATTATCTTGTCCCTTTTGTCAGTCAATAATAGAGACTACTCTCAGATCAGTTTTTAAATCAGTTTCACTTGTTGCTGCCTGATATAGTTGGCCAGCCACTTGAACCCATCTGATAGATCTTCTTGGTAATAAGGAGTTACTAATACCTCACTATCCTGGGAAGGGGTCTGTCACTTTAGAAAAGCAATAATATACCCTCAATTGTATAGGAACTCCTTGAACCTAGAGCAGTGACTTCGAAATTTTTGTCCTCTGGATGTTTTGGACTTCAACTCCAAGAAGCTTCAGCTGCCTTAGTCAATGATCAGATATTTGGGAAGCTGAAGTCCAAAGCATCTGGAAGACCAGAGTTTTGGAAGCACTGACCTATAAGTTCCCTAATGTTTCCTTTTGGGACAGGGCATTCAAGCAAATGGTGGCTAGGCAATTTTAAATGTTCTTGGAGGAGACAGATTATTTGGGCCCATTTTAATCTGGTTTCTGGAAAATGAAGGCAAAACAGAATAGGAAGTTTAAATGTTAGTTTAAAATTTTCTGTTTGTCAGGCATGTTGATAGTGCATGCAGTGTTTAAAGTTTAATGCAAACACCATTCTGTTTTTACATTAAAAAAACATGCCTGGCAACAAAGTGTTTTTAAACCAAAATAATTATGTAGATGGGGAGGGAGTGCCTTTGAGCTCTTTGAGGTGATAATATAGCTGCTTCTTGCAGCTGGTATGGGGATAGAAGCTATCTTAAGATAACCTTGTGCTTTTTTTCTTTTGGCAGAGGTTAGATTTGAATTTGAGACTTTTTGATTCACAGATCAGTCTTTTAGCTGTTATAACACACCAGTTCTCTTTTAGCCTATGTTTGGGACCTTGAGTCGTGATCCCACTCTGCTTCTGGGTCACTGCATCAAAATCAAGATTGGGTGTCTTGCAAAGGTACATCTAGCATGCTAATTGCACTTTGGCAACTCATGCCTTAGAAATAGGATGCTAGATCTATTAAGACAGGCTGCTAGGCATTCAGAAAACATGCAGCACATTATCTCACACACATAATAGACAGGGATGCCTATTAGCACAACACTTGATCAGCTGCAGAGTATCTGCAAGTTTTTCATCTGATTACCAAGATAGCACCTAATAGGTAGAATGTCTGTGTAGCAGTGCAAAACAAAAAGCAACCAACCCCTTTCAAGTATGTACAGATGTTTTATACTGTATCTGAATAAACTCCTTTGATTTTTACAAAACAGATATGCCTCCTTTAAAATCTATGCTTCCTGAAACTATCCATATATAACATTCAACAGGTATTAGAGAAGAACTTGTAATCTTTATTTGCCTGAAAATATAGTCCAGGATATGTTTGTGTCTTATTTTGTCCTTTGACCATGTGCCATGTAATTTCATTTTAAGATATTATATCAGATGATATTTAAAAAATACTGGCTCAAAAGCAGGATTTTAGTTCTGAAAGAACTTCCTGATATATAGGAAACTACTGCATTACAGTTTTCAAAAACTAGTTGCTCTTCAATTTAAAAAAAAATATTCTATTTAATAGTGAAATTCACAATTAACATTTCCATATCATATGCAGTGATCTCTGAATGTCAAAATGTTTATGGCATTAATGTCAAATTGTTTCAGCACCGCTGATATTAATGAAGTACCCTTTTTTTTGCTTCTGCTTTGAACTCTCTTAAAAAGTAGTCAGGCATTGCCATCATTTTAGTCCTTGTGAATCAGATACAGCTTTCATTCCAGAACAGGTGATAAAGGAGGGATGCCTGCAATTTGTGATCATTTCATTTGTATGTTTAATGGCAGGCATAGAGTACAGATGGTTTTGCATGATTGCACGTGGCAATAAATACGCTTTAGCTCAGAATTATTTTTTATTCTCTCTGACTTTGGGGAAAGGAAAGGAGCACCACCAGACCAGGCCTTAGTGGGAAATGATGCTGCAAGAGGTGGGGCTAAATTTATAATCCTGGACAGGCCTTGCCTACTAGCAATAGGCAGAGCTGTGGCAGACCTTGTCCCTGTACTCTCCATACCACACCCTCTCCCCAAAAGCTTTGATTTCTCTCAATCCCCCCCTTCCTGTATCTTTAGAGGTGAAAGCAGACTGTTTAATTCCCACTTTGGATTCTTGGAACAATCCTGACAGGCTTTTGTGGCAACATTTTGCATTTAAAAAAATATTGATGCAATTCACTTTGAATAAGATGACAAAGAAACCCAAACAAGACAATGTATCTGTTGGGCATAGAAGTATAACATGGGTGTGAATATTCCTGGTCTATATCCTTAACACATGACTGTTAACACTGCAATCCAGAACTCATTTGTTTGAGAGTTAGTCTCAGTGAAATCAGTAGAAATTATTTTTTGACTAAGGGCTCATAATGCAGTTTGAAACTAACTTCAAACTGCAGGAGCTAGATAACACATTCCACTAAAGCACTCTGCAGCACAGGTTAAAGAGCGTAAATTACATCAAGCAAGCCCCACATGTAAACAACACCACACAGTGAAATCGGCTCTGCAGAATGTGAACATATTCTAGACACTTTCCTGTGCTGAGATGTTTTGTAAAATTTGGAATGTGGGGCAGGGGGCTGCCAAAAAATGTCCCAGGGTGATAGATGAGTAGCAGAAGTGAACTGATCTCCTACAATGGGTAATTGATTACCTCCACCACTGTCACTTTCCCTTCTTGTTTCCTCCTATGCCTCCAGAATGTATGTGCACATCAAACCCAGAAATTTGGAGGGGGAAAGTTGTTTATCAAGCCAGAGGAACTCTGCTTGGTGTCCTATTGGGCTTGACACTCTTTATCAGATTTGCAAACTTGTTACAAAACTGGGGTATATCAACATTTCAGAAGATTTGAATAAAATTTAAAATGAGTGATACAATAGATAAAAGTTGAAAGACACAAAGATCTGTAAAGAGGCAATAATTAGGAACAAAATCTGATTTAGCAGACGTACACATGTAAAGGTTCTTGGGACTACAGCTAATCACAAGTTGAACACAAGTCCATAGCATAATATAGCAGCAAAACAATGTAATGTGATTTTAGAGTTTAATAGAGTTTAATAGCAGAATCATGGTTCTCAGATTGTGAGGACTAATAATTTAATTTCAAGCTGCAGCAGTCACTTGTCATCCAAAGAACTGCTTCAGATTTTGGTAGCTGCACTTCAATTATGCTTTCCACACTTTTAAGAAGAAAACAGACAAACCGGATCAGTTTCAGAAGAGATCCACAAAGATGGCCAGAGAAATCTGAAAATGTTGTGTGGAAAATGGAAGGAACTGGGTGTGTTTGTCTGGAAAATAGAAAAGTGTGTGGGGTTGGAGGAGACATCATACATTACATGCATAATACATAATATGAGACACATAGTTATTTAGGGCACAAGTACACTGACCACATAGGTCCCTTTTTGAATGTTGGAAAACATTGATCTGCTTCTAGTTTTATCCCATTTCACTTCAAGTTTTTTCAAATATAGAAGTTCTAAGTTGTATCAGGACATATTTTGGTATCATTGTGTTGGATAGGAATGTATTATTAGTTGTGTCCTACTTAATTTTAATTAATTGTCTTTCCTTGAAGTATTTCATCAAAACAGCTAATAAAAAATGTTGCATTATTTTTATTCAGGACCTTCCATCACCTTTGTTGAATACTTCTGTCAATGTAATGGAAGAAGAAGCAGCAAAAGCTGTGACATCTAAGCAAGAATCCCAGGAATCTATGAGAATAGCATGGCGTTACCAGAACATACCAAAACTGGAGGTAAAGTGTATTTCATAGTATTGTCAAGATGTGAACAGATTACATTGTAAATATTTCTTTATTAAAATGTATGTTGAATTGACTACATCATTTAACACAGACAATTGCAAGAGATGGGCAGCTCATTTGAAGGACTATACAGCTTTTAACTTTTTCTTTTAATTCTGTGTAATTTATTAATTATTGTTCTTATGGGATGGGTTTTTATTGCTGAATGTTTGTTTTTATTTATTGTAATTGTCAAGTCTATTGTGTTACTTTTACAGCATTGAATGTTTGCCTTTTATGTTGGGGACCCCCTGAGTCCCCATGGGGACATAGGGCAGGATAGAAATAAAGTTTTTCTTACTTTACTTACTACTTCAAAAATGCTCTTTTTAAGTGGCTCAAAAGGTGGGATCAGTGTTAACTTTTTTGCAGGGCTTTGAACCTTTTTTAAAAAACGGGATGTGAAATGGACCCAAAAGTCTCATGGACCCAAAAGTCTATCCTAGGAGAACTAGAAGAATGACAAAATTGCTCTTCCACCCTAGTCGGTGGGACAAAGACAATTCAAAGTGCTGGCTTTGGCCTATAAAGCCTAAACGGTTCCAGCCCTGTCTTTCTCTCCAAACGTATCTCTCCTTACGAACCATCTAGGAATTTAAGATCTTCTGGGGAGGCCCTGCTCTCGGTCCTGCCAACTTCACAGGTTTGGCTGGCAGGGACGAGAGACAGGGCCCTCTCAGTGGTAGCCCCTCTGCTGTAGAATGCTCTCCCCATCATCCTCCACTCTCTTAACGTTTCGTAAAAGAGTCAAAACCTAGCTATTTGAGCAGGCTTTCCCAAATGCAGTGTAGCAGATAAACTCTGATCTCAGAATGGCTGGACAACACAACTGGATAATGATTTGGTAATGAAATGTGGAGGATTTATTGTTTTATGATGTTTTTATTGATGTTATTATGTAGTGAATTTTTATCTATGTTTAAATGTTTTAGCTATTTTTATATAGTTAAGGGCATCGAATTGTGCCGTTCTGTAAACCGCCATGAGTAGCCCCCGGACTGAGAATGGCGATATAGAAACATAGTAAATAAATAAAATTTTAGGCACAAACAAAAGTTTTATTAGAGGACCTGGAAGCCTGCAATTTCCTACTGCCAATTTAGCATGAATTCTAAAAAGTATGGGATTACATTAGTCCATGTGTTACCATTATAATGTTAACTTAAGAATGACAAAGTGCTTCATCAGTTTGAAAGGAAATGATCCAGTGAGACAGTTTTGGGAAAGAGTAGTCAACTGTAGGATTAGTTAAAACTGCTCTTTTGTTTTTCTTTCTCCTCAGAAATAGTATCTCACTCCTGCATTCATGTTTCATTAGTTCATATAGCTTTGGGAATGCCCATTTGCCAAGGTAACATGTCGTCCCACCTTAAGTAGGTCATACTGTCGTCAGTAATAAGAATAGTAAATATTAAAATATAATTGTTTCAGCCTTGGAGCTATAATATTCATTGCACATGTTTTCAAGAAGCATCCATTATATCTATACCAAACTGCTTTCTAAATTTGTCTGAACGTAGACATGTTTGTATAGGTTGAATGAATAGTACTTAGTGGATCCCTCTAGTGAAGGCATAGAATTGAATCAGGCTGTTGAGTTGCTTATTCATGTGCATAATAAGTAAAGTAAGCACTTGAGATTATATCAGCTTCACTGTCACTGTAAACTAATCATTATGAAGACATAAGAAATAAGCCCAGTGGTCAATTTTCCAGAATTTACAATTCTTAGGATTTTATGAGTTATATTTCTCCTTAGGCTAGCTATTATCTTGCCTAGAATAGTGGTGTGGTCAGTTCCCTGAAATTAAATAAAATATTTTGGAGTACACAGTCCTACAAATACATGGTTATACATTCAGATGTAAGCATAGCCAACTGCACAGTAAGTTCAGCTTTATACTAAAGAATATAATTGGAATATGACAAAATGATTTTACAGGGCTTGGCATGTTTGGTTTTCTGCGTAATTGCACAGACATGGCCATGTATTTGTATCAGAGGGAAAATGTATATATGTTGACATGCCAAATCAAAAACCCTCAGGTTGATCATGTAACCTCATCAATTTTATTAATTTGAAGCTTGACATGCCAAGCTGAACTATCAAAATATTCTTTATTAGTTACATGAAATTACCACATACGTATCCATAAATGTGACGAAATACAGATATTAACTTCAATAGAAAACTGATATTGTTGTGAAGTAATAAATTTTTAGTTTGCTCCAATTTAACTTTAAACTTATACAAATGAAAATGAAAATTGATTTAAGATGCAATCGATTTAAAATAGAAGCTTGTAAAGCAAAAGCCCAGTCTCAGAGATGGTGCCCAGTATTTGAAGTTACTGGTAGAAACTACAAAGTAAAATTAACTACATGTTATCATTGCAGACATTCAAACTACTATCATAATTTTTTGATAATGAGTAATTATTATGGAGAAAATCTCCCGATGCAGATAAAATCCTGATATTTGCTGTGCTTCTCTTCTACATGCCAAAGCAATAGCTGGTCTTAAATGCTCCCTTGCCATTTTTCTCTTTGAATGCATCTTTTCATGAACCCTTTTTCTCAATACCAAGTTGTCCATCACCACTTGGCCATATGGCTGCCCCTGGCAGTATCCCCTGTTCCTCTGTCCCAAAATAAGCTATTACTGGAAAGACACCAGGGCAGATCTTGGGGTAAGAAATGCAATTCTGCCCAAGGCTTACTCAACTATACTGCTGTTCTGCTATAACATGGTACTCACTATCGCTAACAAAAGTCCTGACCACCACTATTAAAACAATTGCCCATACTTGTAGGTACTGCTCTTGAATTGGTACAGTGGGGACCATGCTCATTAAATATTCCATTACTGGCACAAATGCAAAATAAATTAGCATGAATATGCTTCTTTAAGTTATATGACTTACAAAGCAATTCTGAATTAGTCCGGGGAAGAACAGAGCAACAAATTTACTATATCACCACCAGTGATAGTGGTTCACAACAGTCAAAAGTAGTGACTTGTCTGCTTAGCCTAGTAAATTCATCTGTTTCTAGTTCTCACCACCAACAGACACCAGTGTGGAAAAAAGTACGTACCAAGTTCTTTTAGTAACTCTAGAACTGGTTCGGCCGACAGGTTGAAATTGGGTCCAACTGGAAGAGTGGAGTAACTTTGGGTTCTCTTTCCTGCCATTGGAATTCCTCATTTGAAGCTATTTTGGCTTTTTCTCTCCATTCATCTTCATTACACTGGCAGAGGAACATCAACATGTCATTCTGATCTTCTCAGACAACAATATTTGCAGGCTAAGATTACGTTGTTATTCACTTTTACAGAAGTGATAAGAATCTCAATAAACCATGTATGTACCTCCATGCCAGGTTTGGGCAATTCCAGGCCCGGGGGGGGGGGGGGGCAGATGCGGCCCCTTGGAGTCTTTTCTCATGCCCTCCTCTCTTTCACCATTATATTCTTCTTTCCTTCTCTCTTTCCTTCCTCTTTCCCTTCCTTTCTTCCCTCTTCCCTTGCTCCTTCCCTCTCTTCTTTCTCCTTCCTTCCTTCCTTCTTTCCTCCCTCCCTCCCTCCCCTCCCTCCATTCCCTTCCACCCTTCGTTCCTTCTCTTCCTCCCTTTCTTTGTTCCTTCCATCGTTCCCTTCTTTCTTTACCTCCCTCTTTCTCCCTCTCCCCTTCCACCCTTTTCCTTCCTTCCCTCTTTCCCCCTCCTTCCCTCTCCTTCCTTCCTTCCTTCCTTCCTTCCTTCCTCTTCCTTCTTCCTTCCTTCCTTCTTTGTCTTCCTCCCCCTGCTTTCCTCCCTCCCTCCATTCCCTTCCACCCTTCCATCCTTTTCTTTCTCCCTTCCCTCCACTCTTTTCTTCCTCCTTCCATCCCTCTCTTCCTTCCTTGCCTCCCTCTTTCTCCCTCCCTCCTTCCTTTCCTTACATCCTTTCATCCGTCCTTCCTTCCATCTTTCCTCTCTCTTTCCCTCTCTTCTCTTTCTCCTTCCTTCCTTCTTCCTTCCTTTTTGTCTTTCCTTCCTCCTTTCATTCTTTCCTCCCTCCCTCCATTTCCTTCCATCCTTCTCTTCTCCTTCCATCCTTCCCTTCCTTCCTTATCTCCCTCTTTCTCCCTCCCTCCTTTCTTCCCTTCTACCCTTTCATCCTTCCTTCCCTCTTTCCTCACTCCTTTCCCCTCTCTCTTCCTTCTTCCTTCTTTCTTTTTTGTCTTTCCTTGCTCCTATCTTTTCTCCCTCCCTCCATTCCCTTCTACCCTTCCTTTTTTCAATACAAATTTTAATCCCTTCCTTCCTTCCTTCCTTCCTTCCTTCCTTCCTTCCTTCTCCCTTTCCTCCTGGGGGATGTTTAGTTGGGAGAAGAGAAGGTAGAAGGAGCATGAGAACTATGTTTCAAGTTTTTGAAGGGTGTCCAATGGAGTAGGAGAGGAGAAACTGATTTTCTGCTGCTCTAGAGACAAGGGAGTATTGGGATCAAATGACAGGGAAAGAGGTTCAACTGAAAAGATTAGGAAGAACTTCTGGAGGGTGGCATAGGCTGCTTCAGAGTGTGGTGGAGTCTCCTTTTCTGGAGGCTTTTCCACAGAGGCTGTCTATTGAGAGTGCTTTGATTGTGCCTTCTTGCATTGCAGGGGGTTGGACTGGATGGCCCTTGGGGGTCTCTTCCAACTCTAGTATTCTAGGATTCTGTATCAGGAGTAGGAAATACGAGATATAATGGATACATTTTTTCTTTCCTGTCCACCATCTCATCTTGACCTAGGCTAACCATTTTTGGATCCAGATGTTTCCTGTCTTTCCTTCATTTTCTGCCTTCTAACGAGAAGAGGAGGAGGCAGAAAGGGCAGAAAGGGGACTTGGGGAGAACTCCCTCCCTCCTAGCCCACCCACCCCACTCCAGCCCGCCATGTAGCCTCCAAGTTAGCAAGTTTGCCCATGCCTGCTCTTTGCCATGCGCATAGATACATTCATTTTGTGCAAATATTTGAAATGCTTTCATTATAATTAAAACAATTGAAGAATAATTAGAAAATGATGAGCAAATAAGACATTACAAGAAAAGAAGATCCTGTTTTAAAATTAAATGGTAGCTAGTGACTAAAAACATAGTTTTGAAATATTGGTAAATGTAGCAATAGACTTTTTCAAGTGTAAATTATTTTCATATTTTCTACACAAACACAATAAATATGCCTTATTTCTGATTAATGAGGTTTTCGTTATAGGAGTCCATGTTAAAATATGTGCTAAAGATAAGTAATTATATTACATTCTGTCTCTCACCCTTCGTTCTTCTATCAAATCTCCTTACCTGATCTTTGAATAAAATAATTTGGTCCAGCTTAGTACTGTGCCTAATTTGGGGGCTTCAGCCCCCCCCCCCCCCGAAATTCTCATGGTGGTTCGCGAAATGGCCTTACTGGTGCATTATTTAAACTGTTATGTTTATTCATATCATGATCTGATCACCATACTCAATATATCCCATATGCATGGGGGTATTGGGGTAAGGATACAAAAGGTTTGCTAGGCTAGACCCTCTTTCACTCAGACTCAGCCCCCCCCCGAAACTCAGCCCCCCCGAAACCCCCCCTAAAAAAAATTCCCCCCCCCCCCCGAAATGAAATCCTGGCTACGGGCCTGTTTGGGGGGAGGGGGGTGAGTAAAGATATTGCTGGAAAAAAGAGATATCCACAATAATTTCATCCTTCCTGCTCTTCTGGAATATGCAAAGGTCTAGGAAGGATCCCTGGGTTGTAGTTTGGTGATCCTAGTGTTATAGTATATAATTTAAGATTCAGTTTCTAAATGCTTGGAAAATTAAGCAATTTTTCAATGATTGACTGATCATGTGAAATTCAACCCATATCTCTTACATATTGCTTAGCTTGTGACAATCAGGTCAAGTAATGTGTGGTTTTCATTTACTTCTTTCTTTCTTTGTTTCTTATATACTCTCTGTTTTTAATGAATGAACGGCTTGTATTCTGAGGGTAATATATAAACTGTCACAGCATGAAATCAATTTTCTGCCTTGATTCATCCAAAACACGAGAATTTCTAGCACATTAGTATCGCAATTAGAAACATTAAGAACAGACGGTGGCAAAAGGCACACTCTGCTCCATGACAATTTAATTTATTTCTCCTTGTGCAGGCTAGCTTGTAGAAACCCAAGGAAAAACTTGAAGCCCCATTCTGCCAATAAATTTATCATTCCATACTTAAGAAAAATGTGTTTCCTCCTTCCTTTTGCTCTGTCTCTGTGGTCATGCTGCTGCTAAGACAGATTGTTCATGCTTACTTGCTTCAGGTGGGCTTTTTGCAAGCTTCCCCACTAGGCCTGGGAATGTGGTACATTGAGGTCTATTCACAGGCTTCTGACATAGCCAGGCTTTTATTGCCTGGTGTTTTATTGCTGCCAAATCCTAGTCCTCCACCCAGTTTGTAGGCACTGTGCTCATTCTTTAGAATCAAGAAAGGTTATCACCTACCTTAATCCATGCAACTGTGTGGATTAGGGACACCACTGTTCCCCAGGATTCTCAAAGAGGATCCTGGAAACTTCTTGTTTCTTCTTTTTTGCTGTCTTTACTAAACTCTCTAGGGCCTCAGTGAGGATTTGCATCTGAAATGGGCAACCTGGAGCTTTTCTCAATGAAGACATCAGATCAAAGTTCAGTTAGTCAAGGCCTTTCTAAAACATTGAGGGGGCTTGGACTTACACAATAAAAAGATGAGCTTTGGCAGAGATTGCAGTAAAAACATTCTGATCAGTAATCCGGATAAAGGATAGATTATAGGGCAAAGAACAGCTCTTGTTTAAATTGCTTTAAGAACCCCAGATCTAAATAATGTGAAACTTTGAATTTATTTTTAAGCAGTGCACATATTTGGTAAGATGGTAAGGTTTTTCCCTGTGCTATTATAACAATTTAATATCTAGCAATTAGAATAAAAGTTCAGATCATTAATTTATAATAATTACCATTTGTTATCTTTTTGTGGTACAACATAATACATTAAATATTTTGAAGCATTTTATTATATTTATTTTTTATGATGGTTTGTATTAGCATTATTGAAGTGGATCCTATTTTCTCTGCTTACTAAAAGATTCACATTGGCAGTAGTTACTTTAAAATAATTTGTGCGTCGTCGAAGAATCAGTAATTTTATATTTAGTTATTAAAATATGGCAGATATAACATGATAATTTATAACATGTACACATTCACTTGGCATTCAGTATAGTTCTTTTATGTATGAATGACCACCCACAAGCAGAAGAGTGTGAAATATAGACATCTATGAGAAAACAAAGACTTGACAGTAAACAAAATATTTTTTCTTTTTTCTTGAAAAGGACAAGTGCAGACTTTTCTGATGCAATATTTATTTATTTTTTAAAGATAAAAAGATATTGTCTTCCTATAATGCCAAAATTTGTTTCACAGTTATGCTGGTTATTATTTTGGGTTCAGTGAGAAAGTAGGCATTTGTGGGAGTGTATCCTCACTCATTAATTGGTTCCTTTGGTTTGTTTTGAGTTTGGGTCAAGTGCAATTAATTATAGTTCTGAAAAAATAACTAATATGTAAAAACATACTTTTGTATTAGATAGCTGTCTCATTTTCAACAGTTTTAAAGAGCAAAATCCATTTATATTAGATAAGAGATACCATTAGAAAATGAATTTCAAGCTAAAGAGTCCAGCTTAAAGGTGTTTCCTGATGGAACTTCAGGTAGCAGATGCTGCTAGGGAAACATTTGTTTGGTTTAGGCTTGCATGTTTATGGTACTTTATTTAAAAATAAGTAACAGTAATATTGTTTATTTCAACATATGTGGAATTTTATGTGACTGTGTAAAACCATTTGAAACTATTAGTGCTAGTACACATAAGGCTTTCAATGCAGTTATCCATAAAGGCTGCATAGTTTGAGTTCCCACATACTGAGAGTGTGCATTGTGTTGAGCTTCTATATAAATTATGGCTGCTAAGTCTAGCAAAAACCACCTGGGCTTGTTCCAAGTAGCCCTCATAACATGTAGAATGATTGTAATGCAAAGCCATAAGAGTTATGAATGTAATATTTACAGAAATTAGTTTGACATCAACCTGCTCAGGATCACCTAGGCATACTGCATCAGAATTCTGGCTCATCCCTGAGTTAGGGCCTGTCACGACAAATTGGCCAATTCCTAACTGTAACCAGTATCAGCTGTCTTGATGCTGCCCTGTCTTCTCCAGGCTCAGGTGGCCCAGAGACACAAGACTGCAGTTCCTTCTCATTCCCTCACACCATGTCACAGCTTTCGTAACCACAACACCCACACCTATCTTTTTATGAGCTCTCTGGCTGCTGCCAACCAGAACACAACCTCACTAAGGAGGCTGGATAGAGGGAGGGGGATTCCCCCCTTCACCTCCCCACCACCTTAGATAGCAGCACTCTAGCTGATGGCAGCCAGAGAGCAAGATAGGTGGGAGTAGGGAGGTCCCGTAGGGTGGCTTCCCAGCAGCACAGAACTGGTTTGACATGCCTGGGCCATTGAAACTCCCCAACACCTCTGAGTTGGTTCAAGGAATCCCAAGCAGACTTCCAAGCAGGGCTGATCCAGCATCCAGGACATCCTCCTCACCCATTTTTAATTTTTTTTGGTCAGTGTAGAACCACCCTTGATGTGTGTTATCAATTCAGGAATGTAATGAAGATCTTATCTTATTAAAATCTTACAAGCTATCGTATTTTGCCTCTTTTCCTTCTTATATACATACCCAGAAGCATGAAAGCAACGTCCATGTTGTGTGATCCCATCAGAGAGTAATATGAATTAAATAACCTTAACAGTGAGCTCAGCTGAGTAGGCTATTCGCAGTTGATTGGAACCTCTTCATCCTGTCTGCATTACTGCATTTTTCTTTCTTTCTAGACAACACAAACATTACTCTGAGCCCTTCCACTTTCCTTATATCCCAGGATCTGATCCCTGATTATCTGTTTATCCCAGGTTATCTGGCAGTGAGGACTCATATATTCCAGTATAAAGCAGATAATCTGGAATCAGATCCTGGGATATAGGGACAGTGTAGAAGGACCCTCGGAAGCATAGGTTTGAATCAGAATGCTCTCATGCTGCTGGGTGTGTTAAGGAGAAAGATTAAAAAAAGAGGTGCAGTCAACTGCACTAGCTTCCAAGTTGTATGAATGCCCCATTCAGTTGTTTGCCACTGATGTTTGAAATGTATACATTGTATTTTATGATAGATAAATTGTACAAATTGAACTATAACTCAGTTGTATGTTTTTATAGGTGACTCAGACGGCATTTTCAAAATTTGGGCACTATTTTGACTTATCAAGAACAATGGCTCCAGAACTAATCCAGAATATAACTTGGAATGGTTTCTCACCTTTTGAAGAAACCAGTTTTTGCCCTGATGAAAAATCATGGTGAGTTTTTAGATCTTTTCACTTCGGTTGATTATACAATAAAAGGGCACACTTTGTGAGCAGATTTCATAAGCATAACATATTAGATTGGACAGGTTAGAATAGTATTTGTCTAGCCTTATGCCTTTGCCTCTATTGCTAGCTTCAGCAATGGATTTTCTCATTGTAATGGTAATTGAAGATATAAACTGAAAGATTTCTGGCATAGTTTCCATAGCCTTGAACTAATAATTTCTCTATTTGCTCACAGAATGCTAATGGATCTTATTTTCCTGTCTAACCCACTATCTCTATTACAGATCTTTTAAAAAATATATAAAGAGATTTTTGGAAGAAAAATGTTTTTATTTATTTGTGTATATGAAATAATGGGGAAATCCCGTTGTAAGAGTGAAATAGAAGATGTGCATTGTGACGGTATCTGAATATGCTTGTGTGCTCTGCACATAAACTGCAGATGCCATACAGACTCCCTAGCAGAAGACAGGTTTTTCTCTTACTATAGGGTGTAAACTGTTTTTTTTTCTTGTGTAGAATGACAGCAATTCACATATGATTCAAAGAACCTCATTACTGGGTATTATTCACATGGGAAGTAATGCCAACCTTTTCATGTTTCCCACAGTCGTCCTCTGCTTGATTTTCAGTGATGACTTCCTCCCTTTTCCCTCAAGCTGAGGTTCCATTAACCACAGGAGTGAATTTGTGGGGGTATTATGGGAGAACAAGGAGGAAATTCACCTTTCCCTTACTCTTTCCTACCAAACCTTTTTCAGTTTTAAGCTAACAATGCTAGAACTGATCATGGTACCATTTGATGGAATATTGGGAACTGGTTTTTGGGTAGCATCATTTTTTAATATGTGTTTGTACTGCCACACTGCTATGTCTATGCTGTGATTGACTTCAAACTTATTACAGATCTGATTCATCTAGTGATGATGGGATTTGTAAAACTCTGATATTAAAAGGGATTTTATCTTGCTTTTGTTTCCTTCCCTCCCTCCAGTTCCTGCTTTTTTATACAAGATTTATTGTCTATTGTTGTTTCTTTGTGGCCCTTTGTGGTTATACATCCACTTCAATATTTGCTTTAAAGACTAAAGAATAATAGAAATAATTACATTACCAAGCTCTTAAAACATATACTGAAAAAAGTATGTTAAGCCTAGTATTTATTCCATATTTTTGAAATATCTTTTAATAATGTTAAAATTAGGTGGATCCAATTCACTACATTGCCAACCTACACTGATAAAATAATGTTAATTATATATACTGCAGTTGTTTAACAGGTCGGTTGAAGGTGGCATTCCGGACTGCACTATGACATGGATCTTATGTGGCAGTAACATCTAGGAGTCAATGTAACAGCATATTTTTGAAAAAAGGAATTCATTTTTAAGTAAACTTCATTGCAAAATAGATTGTAAAATGCTACATTTTAAACACCCAATTGACATTTCTAAATTCATCTTCTAATATGCTTAGTGTTTGTTGAATAAGTGTTATCATGCTTCAGAAATTGAAGCAAAATTTAGAAGGTGAATCTGCCCCCAGTGATAATGAATTGTGTATGTTCCGGGTGAACAGATCTTAGTATTGTTTCTAATAATTACTCAGGAAGTTCAAAAGAAAGACATATGTTTGAAACCTCATATATATAGTTTTGCCCGAGATATTTTAAAAAGAGGAATGACCCTGGGATAATTACAAAAACAAATTCTTGCAGGCTAGCCATATTACTCTAATAGTATCTATTCATTTATAAGTCTAGGGATTTTAGTTTAAAAGGTGATTCCCAAAACTTGAGTAGACTTATCCATGGGCCAGTGTAAGTACTGTGTCTTAACACCTATCAAGAAACTTTGAATCGAGTGGCAAAAGACGAAAACCAGAAGAACCTGAAAGAAGCGCGGAGCTCCTCTATTCTGTCTGTCATGTCACCACTTTTGTTTTTGTTTAATGTCTGGGCAGGAAAATGGTGGTGGATGTAGTCCTCTGTTGATGCTTTACCTTCTCCATGGAATGACCCTTAATGTATCCATGGGTCAAATAAACATCCATAATTTTGGCCCCACAATCTGCTCTCGACTTATACATGAATATGTTAGGCACAGGGTATTTCTCCTACAGCAGCGCGCAGTGTTTGGATAATGTCAAAAGTAATGTAGACTAGTATCATGTCAAACAGAATCAATTTAACAATCTATGTAAATGTGACAATATTACATAGAGAGCTGTTCAGCTTAATAGATCAAGGAGCAGAAAAAGGATTCATTTATAGAGCCAATATTCTTTGGAACTTTCTCCACTACCATTCATAAGGGCAAGTTAGGTTTCAAAGTTGGCTGCTGCTTCTATTTTAGCAACCGTAGTACCTAAAACAGAAAAAACCCTATCACAGAGAATAGTTTTCTTCACTGTGCATAAACTGCTCTTTTGGGTGACAACCATAATTGTGAGGAAAGGGTAATCATGATTCATCTATAAAAGTATTATTATATCTAATAGCTATATTCCTTTATAGCTGCCTTCCATATTTTCTCATTCTAATTCAATACATATATGCAAGAGATTTTAGTCTTAGGGCAGACTGACTGTCCAAGAAAGAATCTGACATTTGGTTTTATCATTTGGTGCCTTGAAGAGCTGAACATTAGGAATATATAGATGGGTTTAAATGTGCATGGAGCACCGATTTGCTGATAAATCTTGCTAGAACAGCTTAAATTGTCTTTCCTAATGGAATCTACTTCCTGATAATAGGCTTCTTTGTCATACATTTTGATACCCTAGCCTTTGTTAAATGTCTAGCAAAAGTACTGATGGGGAAGTCAGAGATGTTGTAACCTGCTTCATCAGTAACCAGAGTATGAAACAAAAATGAATGAGATTGTATTGTTGTAAAGTTAAACTGCTTCATAACTAATCTTTTCCAGACCCCTCCCCCCAACCCAGCTTTTCCAAATACAACACATATATCTTTGGCCCATGAAACACAATAAATATTCCTAACGGTGTTATTTATTTGGTACAGTTAAGATCACTGGCATCAATAAATTACTACCTGCAAGCACATATGTGAAATTGCCACCTGCAAGCACACCTGTGAAATTATAGATGGAGGATTAAGCTAGAATATTTGAACTTGCATGTATTTTATGTAGCCTTTTATTTTACATGATTGCAGCCAGTGCTAAATTGAGCTTTTGGCTTCAGTAAACATGTTGAATGAATTAGCATTAACATGCATTGCAGCCCAAAAAGATGATTTTTACTTAATTGTACAAATCCAAGGGTAAAACCTTGTCACATAAACAGAATTTATATTCTTAAAGTTTATGTTTATGTTTACATGATAAGATTTCACCCTTGAATTTGTTTGTACATCAAAGAAATCAAGCTGGTAGAAGAGACAATCCAAACTCTGTGTTTTACCATATAAAGCTTATAAACTGACAGTGATGCAACAAGCAAAACTTTGGTTGGTAGAAAATGGATGCCTTCTCAAAGTTTTTGAATCTAGTAAGAATAGATGCTAGAGAGATAAGCATGGCTGGACAAATAGAAATTTGCAACTAGTAGTATAAACATAAACTATAGCTTTAAGATAAGAACTTGGGGTAAAGACAATGGTCATACTAGTTTTTAATTACTTCCATGCACCTTATAAGGAATGGGAAGCTTTGCTATATATATAAACTATGCTTTCTAGAGAACAAATACAAGCTTCATGTGAATATCTTGACAAATATGACCCTATACATACCTGGGGTGGTTTTTAGATACAAAATTTTGTTGTCTTTTTTGTTCTTGTGTTGGTTCTTTTATTACTAGAGTGTAATTTAAGCAAATGTGTGATTTCTTCATGCAGATATTTATGTTGCTGCAGTTACCAACATTTGCTACATTATAATTTTTATTGAAAATCAGTTGGTATTTTTATGAATAATTACATTCTGACCTGGTTTGTGTTACAAAGAGCTAGTTGGATGAAGCTGGGGGGTTAACAGCATCAGGCAAGGCCTGCAGGGCAAGGAGATGGAGTTGCATTAATTTTGATTTAGTCTTCTTCACCAGATGTCCCATCCCAGTACCATGCTTCCCCTCTCCCCTTGAAGCCCTACATGTCTTCATAGATAATTGAATCAGACTTATCAATGGAGAAGTCATAGCAGATGTCTGAGAACCAGTCAAGTCCTCTTTCTGTTCAGAAGGTCAGGTCAGCCTCAGATCAGATAAAGAAGTTGTAACTAGCTCTCTCATTCCCCAGTTCCAGAGAAAGGTGGAGGTTTAGGCATCTGTCCCAGAGTATTCCCTGCAGGAAAAGTAAGAGGTGGCAATCAAGACATCAGGAGGAGCACAGCTGTGAAATGTTTTCCCCAAATACTTTCTTGGATCTTCTTGTTGGCTGGATATACTGCCTATAGAAGGATATAGAAGGAAGTTACAATCTTGCTACCTTGCTTAGTAAAACTTCAGTCTTAACAGTATGGTTAATGGAAGTTCACAGATTCATGATTTCTGAACTGCTTAATGACTCAACTACTGGTGTTTCTGGAATCCTGAATATGATTTATGGCTTTTTTGACCCTGGACTGTTTGACAATTGATACTTCCTGCTTCTTACAATGATAGCTGATTCTTGGCTTCTATCTGGCAGCAATGTGTGGATTCTAGAAATCTGCCTCTTCAATGCAGTTAATAGCAGGGCAACCACAACCTTTTAGGTTTTAATGTCTATATTCAGAGGAGGATGGTGGGGACAAAATAGAGACTCTGTTGATGTACTCTCTATCCTGTTTAATTCCATTTCTGAGCTAGCTAAATTGGTCCTGGCACTGGTCTTGAGCCCCTTCCCCCACCCAGTTTATTGTAATGGTGATCTCAACATTGATGCCTTTGGGAGCAGCTTAGATTTTCCATGATAACCATGGGCCTATCCCAATTAATATATGGTGCCATCCATACTGCAGAACATGGTCTGGACCTAGTTTTCTATACTGGATAGGATTATGTTGACCAGGAACTTTCTGTAGTCCTGTTTACAGATCACTTTATGGTGAGATTTAAATTCATTGGAGCTGGGAGATTCTACAGGGTTGATTAAGGTGGTCTGTCCCAGGAGGTTCATGGAACAGGATTAATTCTTGATAGCTTCTCAAGGGTTTACTGTTACCTTGGCAGGTATCCTGTTGAAGCCCTGATTTATCTTGGGGTCAGGGTTGTAGACATAGTGACTTTAAGTGTCTCTCCCCCATCCCAGCATGGAGACAAGTTAGTATTTGGTTTAATAAAGACCTGGCTTAGATCACTAAACTATTTGAAAGACTATATATCTCTATATAAGCCTGCCAAATTTCTAGAACCTGGGTGTCGTCTCTTGGTCCTGTTACCATCTCAGAGAGACTTCTTAGTAGTTCTTTCTCTGCTTTCCTTTCACCTGCAAAGATCTTTTCATTTTAGCAGGTTTATAATTGGAGATAGGAAGAATTTTTGAGGTGTGCTGCATTTTTTTAATTTTTATTTAATTTTTTTTATTAGAACCACATCACTACTGAGAATCATTACTGAGCCAGGCCAAATCTCAGCGAAGCTGGCAATCGATTGCAAGTACAAGCAGATTGGGAATCAAAGTCCCAGAAATGGAATCAGGACAGGTCCCAGAGTAGTCAAACAAGGTGGAAATACATGCAATATTTTCTTAGCAGCTTCCCACATTTATGAGTTATTCATACTGAGGAGCTATCTCAGATGTCAGAGCTTTATCAGGGCTGGCTGGTCTAGATTGGACTGTGAATTCTTCTGTTCATATCAAGCTAATACTGAAGCCTGAAGAGAGCTATTGATCCAAAGAGGCACATCTCCCTGGTTTAGTGAGGATTGAAAATGCTGATAACACATGACGGAAGATGCCAAAATTTGGCTACTGAGAGCCCTTATTTGAAACATGTACACTTTATCACTTTATAAACAATGATACTGATAATTTGTAAACATATGACCAAGTTGTTTGAAGATAATATTTAGTTCAACTTTTTTTTAAAAAAGCTATCATTTATTTCACTTGCAAAATTGCACATTTTAATGTTAGCATATATTTATTTAACAAGAAACTCTGTCTCCATTCTTTAGTGAAATGCCCTGTGGTTATACCAGATTGCTTCGTTCCATTCAGAAGGTCATTTACCAGCAAGGATATGATGGCTCTGTACCCCAGGTATAAACCAACGTCAACATTATTTCCTAGCACACAAAGTTTTTACAATGTTTAACAGGGGTGAGGCAGTAGTGAACACATCCTTTTAAAATACTGTGTTCATTTGTCGGCAACGTGCTTTGTAGTCACATGATTCAATCCCTATGATTTCCAATTGAAATCAATATGTTGCTGTGGGATGGGCACAGTGCAGGCCCTGAATCTGTTTTGTGGCCCCTGCACCTTCCCACCAGTCCCCCGGTGCTCCTTAATCTCCCAATTATTAGTTCAGTAACATCCCACCTTACCCACACAACCCTCTAGAAACCCCAGTTGATTTTTTTTAATAGTTGGTTTTTTTCCATATCTTTTCTTTAGGAATTAAGGGCACAAACAAGTTTCACATACTGTTTTTGCCATTCCCTCTCATGTAAATTGCACCATGTGTGAGAATTTCTCTCAACAAGGCCTCTCATGCACATGAAAAGGTGCATTCAAAGGAGAGCTAGAGGCCCTTTGTACTTACTTCTAATTTTCATATTAAAAGGATATAATTCTGATTCATAGATCAAAATCCAGGATTATGTTTGTATGTCTATAATACAGATTCCATGCATGCAATAGAATGTTTGATTTTGAATCAAATTTACATTTAGCCTCTCATCAGTATTGAATGCTACATGGGAGGTCATGTTTTTAATAGGACTCATATTTAATACATTCTAACAGGAGGCTAAATGTTATTATTTAATGTTATTTATTGGTTATAGTTATGAATTTACTTTTGGGATTAGGAGGGGTTGTTTATTTTGTCCTTGTTTAATGTATTAGGGCATTGAATGTTTGCCATTTTTTGTTGGAAGCCACCACCCTATCTCCCTTTGAGGAGATAGGGCAGAATATAAATAAAGATGATGATGGCTATTATTATTATTATTATTATTATTATTATTATTATTATTATTGGAGCCAAGGTAGCGTGAGGCCAATATGGTGTAGTGACTTTAGTGTTGATTGAAGTCACTAGGGTTCAGATCCCCAGAGTGACCTTGAGCAAGTCTCACTCTCTCAGCCATAGAGAAGGGCAATAACAAGCCACCTCTGAAGAAATCTTCCCAAGAGAATACCATGATAGGATCCCTGTAAGTCAGAGTCAGCTTGAAGGCGCACAACAGTAACAATAGGATACAAATGTTCTTTTGTTGTGATACAGTAATAAGAGCATCTGATAAAGTCCCCATATAAGCTAAATATAGAAGAAAGATATTTAGAGCATGATTGAATTATAAGTAAGTTATTCTTATCATTACTGGCTAAATGTGTTCTAGCTTCATTTAGCAAGTGCCATAATGATTATTAGGAGTTAATAATGATATCTATTTGTCCCAAACATTGTTTTTACATGTTTATCAAGCACGACTCTCCTGGTTCATTTAGTTTTCTGTCTGTATTGTGCTTTAAGGGCAAGCATATTTTCCTTTTAGTAGTAGTAATGCCCTTTTGGAGAAGTAAATTGGTCCCTGACAGGCACCTCTGCTTATGTTACCATAGCAACAGGCATGTCATAACAGTTCCCCAGAATAGGATGTTGATCTGCTCCTCCAACATGATGACAGATCCATAGGAAGTAGGGAATCATAGAATATCAGCAGCAGTAGCACCAAAGTGACATTAAAACCCTGGGAGCAGACAGCATATAACCTGTTATTGGAAAAAAAGTTTATTTTTTTCCCCAGACACTGGATGAGGGATAAAAATAGTACCTAGATATTTCCCCAATGTATCTCAATTTCTATCATTCATCGGTCCATCTAGCTAGTAAAAATACTAGAAACTATAATTGGATAAAGCTGTCTGTATAATATGAAGAATAGCTCATCCTTGTTCGTATAATATGAAGAATACCTCATCCTGTGTTTTATTCAAAGCAATTGGTAGAAAAGAGTTTATTTCTGATTAGAATTCTCTTATTAATAATTTAAAACATGCATTCATTTGAAACCCTTTCTCGGTTATACTTAAGAGGAATACATTGAAATTATACTATGAAATAGCAATGGAACACTGAAACGCTAAAACGGAGAGAAAAATTACACAACCATCCATTACAAATATTTTATCTTGGGCAAGATTCAGACCTTACTTCCACTGTCAAAAAAGTGAAATCCAGCAGATGTGATAAAGGTTAGTGTTCCTTTCCCACTGCTGTCCTTATGTACCATATAGACAGATCTGGGGGCCTGTGAAATCCTCTGGAGCCAGTTTTCAGGAAGCTCTAAAGGCTACAGGGGAAAGAATGCACTGTGCAACACTAGTGCATTGTTAGATTTAGGCCTTAGGCAGGTGATAGTAAGTTGAAACAATTTATTAAGAGAACAACAATATCATTCAAAAAACTTCCTGAAAAGGGAGGTTTTGACAACCAAGTAGAAAGACATCAAACTTTCTATAAGGGAGTTCCAATACAGTCACTGAAAAGACTACACAAACATACATTAGTCTAAATCCTGTTGCAGTTCCTCACAAAAGTAGACACATTGAATCAATTGGATTTACTTATGTGTTGACACAGTTAACAGTAGGTTCAGTGAGCCTGCTGTACTTGGAACAAATGAACAAGATTCCAGTTACTGAAATACAAAAAAAAGACCTCAAGAGTATAGCCGACAATCCTGTTATACTGATCCTACATGACACAAAGCACCTGTTGTGTTGTTGGAGGAAGGAAGTAGCTATGGTGCTGGACTTCCATTCACTTGATAGGTATGGACAATTGAGCAGGTATGCATTCAGCTGTAATGTGGCATTGTTCCGCATGACATCCCCAGATGACAGACAGAAGGTGAGCATCCCTTATCTAGAATTCCAAAAATTTCAAAATTCAAAATTGTCCCCATTGGTTGTTGGGAAAGTGGTATTTTCACTTTTTCAGGGTTCGGTGTACACAAATGTTGTGTATAAGATTACTTCCAGGTAGTGTATGTATATAAGATGTATAAATGCATTTCATGTTCAGATTTGGATTCCATCTCCAGGATATGGCAATATGTGTTTGCAAATACAAATATTCCAAAATCCCCCACACAAAAATCCTAAACACTTCAACTCCAAAAATTTCAGATTAGGGATAACCTGTACAGACATTCCATTCCCCATAGCCTCTTCTGAATTGTGCCCCAAAGATAATCTGATTGCTATGGCCATGTCACAATTTTTCCTCCCTTGTTCATTACTCAAGAAAGGCCCTGCCCTGCCCTTAGGCTGAAGTAGCCTCTCATAGAAAATGGGAAGACACTCAAAGATTTTACACAGCATTGAATTGTAGCACCTTGAGAAGTGCTAGGCAGCTGGGGAAACATTTTGGAATGTCAGATTTTTGCTATCAAATTAGTTTTTTTCAATTTACATTACCTATTTTTTAAAATATATATTTCACAGAAAAAAGAAAGGAACATTTTAAGAATTGGAATTCAGAGCCTTGGATCAGTACTGTGGGGTGATGATATTTGTTGTACTGAAAATCCACAGAGTATTAATAGACTCACCAAATTTCTGTACGCTCTCCGTGGTCTCCTCAGAACATCTTTGTCTGCTTGTATGATCACAGTTCCAGCTCATCTCATCCAGGTAGGTGTAGCCCAGTTGCTATAAATAATTTCTGTGGGTATACAAAAATACAGTTAGTTAGTATAGTTAATTATCAGAATTCACCATAGAATATTGTTATGCAGTGGCTATTCCAGTGTACCTTCCCTGAATAAAGGAAACAATGCCCTGCTCTGATTAATTCTCTGCAATTTTCCTCAGAAGCACTTTAACTACCCATTGGGTTGGTCTCCCTACATTATCTTTTAAAACCCTCCTGTTTGGATACATCCTACCTCTGTTCACGCCCAGTGTTTATTTTAAAGAAATTAATTTATTACATCTGGCCCGCCATAAGGTTTAAAATGTTGTGTGTTATTGCTTATATGTGAGTTATATTAATTGTATTGTTTTATTTGCTTACTGCTTTGTTGTTTTACTGATGTGTTGTTGGGCTTGGCCTCGTGTAAGCTGCCCCGAGTCCCCTTGGGGAGATGGTGACGGGGTATAAATAAAGTATTATTATTATTATTATTATTATGTTGCTGCATTATTGAAATACTGAATTTCTTTCAACATTTCCTATTAAATAATAATTCATAATATAATGGAGCCAAATAAGTGTGATTGGAAATCCTCCTTTGCAGTTGGAGTTTCCTAGATTTTTAAAATTCTACTAAAAGTGTACCAAATTCAGTGCAAAACAGATATATATATATATTAGGGCTGGGCGGTTTCGTTTCATAATTTCGTAATTCGTTAAAAATTCGTTTGTTTTTTTTGGTTACGAAGCGATAACAAACCATTCAGGAGCATCTAAAAAACGAAAGAATTTTTCAATTCGTTTCGTAATTGTTTCGTATTTGTTTCGTATTCGTTTCGAAATCGTTTCGAAATCGTTTCGTTATTATTTCCGCATGTCTGGGGCAAGTTTTATAGCTGTTGTTTGTTTAATCAGTGAAAAAAAATTATAAATATCACACCAACAGTCAACAACAGAGGGAGAGGGAAGCTTCAGAAGTTCCCCCTGTCCCATATGGAGGTTTTTTAGCGTATTGCGCGGTCGCGTCCGCCATTAACGAGTCGATTCGTATTCGTTTCGTATTCGTTTTGTATTGTTTCGTAATTTTACGAAATTTCGTAAATACCGAACTTTTTTAAAGAAAAAATTCGGAATTCTTTTAAATATCGAAACGCAAAAAACCCCAAAAAACGAATCGAGTTTAGAAACAAATTTTTCCGTGGTTGCCCAGCCCTATATATATATGCATTAAAGCCATAGCCATCTCCTTCCCATTAATCCCATTTTAGTATTCCGTTAAAATTGCTTTTGAAGTTCACCATATACATTTTTTATTTATTGTAAGCCGCGTGCAACTAAAAAAGTATGTAAATGTAATCTACTTCCACTAATACAGCGATGCTTTCCAGGGATCTAACAACGTGTGTATTTATAAGACTCAGTTTAGTCAAAAACAGGCAGGGCAATCACAGGAAGTGAATAGGGCCCTGATCCATGTCAACAAAAATGGGTGCAATCTGAGGGAACATATTAAGGAATTAAAACTACACAACTGTCACCTTCATTCTGACCAATACTTATTTCTGCATCATGCATATTACTCATGCTGTCGTTATATGTAATTTGCATTGTACATGAAGACAGTGAAAGAGTGGAAAGTAAGCTGTACAGACATTCCCTGCAATGACGTCTTGTGATGCCTGCCTGAACAGTCAGCCCTCTGTATCCACAGATTTTGTGTTAGACATCCATGGCTTAATTTTTTTTAAAATCCAGAAAGCAAACCTTTGCCAATTTATATAAGGAACATCATTTTACCACGTCTTTGTGTGTAATGGGACTTGAACATCTATGAATGTTGTTAAAAACAAGGGGTTCTGGAACTAAAGCCAGATGGGTACCAAGGGCCCACTGTACCTGAGACTTTGAACTTAGGAAAGCTAGAGTCAGCTAATTCAGGCTTACGGTTTTTACCTTATAATTTCACATTTTCAATTTCTGTATTGGTATTAAAGCAGTGTTTCTCAACCTGGGGGTCGGGACCCCCGTGGGGATCGCGAGGGGGTATCAGAGGGTTCTCCAAAGACCATCAGAAAAACATAGTATTTTCTGTTGGTCATGGGGGTTCTGTGTGGAAAGTTTGGTCCAATTCTATTGGTGAGGTTCAGAATGCTATTTCATTGTGGGTGAACTATAAATCCCAACAATTACAACTCCCAAATGGCAAGGTCTATTTTCTCCAAACTCCACCAGTGTTCACATTTGGGCATATTGAGTATTTGTGCCAAGTTTGATCCATATCCATCATCGCTTGAGTCTACAGTGTTCTCTGGATGTAAGTGAACTACAACTCCAAAAAACTCAAGGTCAGTGTCTACTAGACCTTCCCAGTATTTTCTCTTGGTCATGGGAATTCTGTGTGCCCAGTTTGATTCAATTCCATCATTGGTAGAGTTCAGAAGGCTCTTTGATTTTAGGTGAACTATAAATCCCAGCAACTCCAGCATTACCAAATGACAAAATCAATCACCCCCAACCTCACCAGTATTCAAATTTGGGCGTATTGGGTATTTGTGCCAAATTTGGTCCAGTGACTGAAAATACATCCTGCATATCAGATATTTAATTACGATTCATAACAGTAGCAAAATTACAGTTGTGAAGTAGCAACGAAAATAGCATTATGGTTGGGGGTCACCACAACATGAGGACCTGTACTAAGGGGTCGCTGCATTAGGAAGGTTGAGAACCACTGTATTAAAGGATTTATTGAAATGTATCCGTATTTTAAGCATGATAATTTTTAAATAGTAAAGTAGTGTTCTATTTACTAGTGGAACCCGTTGCTGTCAGCTGAATTGTCGTGCCACCATTTTCCCAATATATTTTATTTAATATTAGTTTTGGTGTTCAGTGCTTTCCTATGTTTAGGGCCAAAGGGTTGTGTTTATTTATTTAATATAATATTTGCCCTGGATGTGGAAACATAAGCATTTCCAAAAACAGTCAGATATCAAGCATTCCCTCTCTGTTAAGCAATGACTCGGTTGAGCAATAACTTAACAGGCTGCTTAAACTGCAGAGTGAACTCTCATTAGGAGGAGCAAAGCGGCTGAGGTTTCCCTGTATCCCACATTACTCCGTTCCCAGAGCCCTGCTGTGTAGTTGTTCAAGTCTCCACGAAGCCTGTTCAAGAGCCCCCAGAGCATGTGTCCAGCCCTCCACGTTAATAGTTAATTGGCGAGGATGGCAAGATGAGAGGACAGCCGAACATGTGGTCTCTCCGTCTAAAGCGCTGGGCAGACTTTTGAGTTCGAAGAACAGCAGCTGCTCACATTCTCACTACTTAGCTTCTCACAACCCTGTTGTTGGGATTTGTGAGTGGATTAAAAATAGAAGGGCCTTTGTTTAAAATACAAACATGTTTTCACTTTTCCACTTCATGTAAAATAAGCAGATTTAATGCAGTCCTATAAACATCATGTTGTTGTTGTTGTTGTTGTTGTTGTTGTTGTTATATGTTTCTATACCCTGCTTTATCTCTCCTAAAAGGGACTCAAAGCAGCTTGCATTAAAAGTATTACAACACAATTTAAAATGTACAAATATGCAAACATTAAAACAGAATTTAGCATAACGGTATTTAAAAAATCAATTAAAATCCATTAAAACATATTCAAAGCTAAAAACCACAGTACCCCCTGACTTGATCTTTAAAAACTTCTTCTTTAAAATCCTGCTTGAATAAGAAGAATTTATTTGTTTATTTATTTATTTGATGCATGCTCGCAGCTTTTAGGAAAACCCCCAAAGAACATTTCAGGCTAAGATTGTCAAACAGCAGCTAAAACAGCTAAAGATTCATATAATGCATTTTTCAATCCAAACTGAGTACTGAGTACTACACAATAGGCTTGTGCACTGATCCAATTTAGCCGTTTTGCTTTGACCAGTTCGGCTTCTTCTCCTCGGTTGGATGGCCATAATGTCACGGGGCCAGTCAGAACAGTTTCCTGTCCATAACGGAACCACGTCGCAGCTGATCACAGCTCCTCTTATCCTTTTCGGAAGCATGCAGCACTCAAGGAGGCAAAGATGATGATGATGATGATGATGATGATGATGATGATGATGATGATGATTCCAGCAAACATAAAGAAAACCCTCATTCTCAGATAACTACTATTAACACTTTCCTGTCTACTTATAATTTAATTCCTTTGCAAACAAGTTCTCTCTGTTTATATTTCTCTCTGGGCTCTAAAAAGAAAAGAAATTCCTAAAATTCGGGGTATAACCCAAACATTATGAAACCTGGCACGCTAACAGTGGTAGATGTGTCCTCCAAGTGTGGTCATTTTCATCCCGATAGCCCTAAAATGATGGGAAAGGAAGCCTGGGAACTCCTCCATTGCCGCCAATGGGCCAAATCTAGGCATATTTTTCGGCTGCAGTCTGAAAACAGGCATCCAGCTGGGCGCCTGTTTTTGGGAGGCATGTGGAAATGGATATGGGTGTCTAATGGTATCTGGCCAGCAGAAACAGATCAAGGTTCAACCGAAATACACAAGCCTACTACACAATGTATCAACCTGACAGTTCTCTGGTCCCATGTTTTCATTTCATCATTGGTCCATGTTGACAGAGAAATCTGTGTGTGTTACATAATGCTAAACTTGCTTCAAGGAAATTTGCAAATCTTGTCTATGACTATCAAATAATTCTCCAGCAAAGGATCACCGCCTTGTCGGGGCGCTGGAGCTTGAGCACCTCAATGATGTCATGAGCGAAACCGTGAAGGGACACCCAAGACGGGACGGTTGTGGCAGAGAGGTCAGACCAAGCGTGATCCCTGGGGAAGGCAATGGCAAACCACTCCAGTATCCTTGCCAAGAAAACTAAATGGACCAGTACAACCAGAGATATGTCGGTATGCCATTGGAAGATGGGACTCCCAGGTCGGAAGATGGCCAAAATGCTACTGGGGAGGAGAAGAGGATAAGTTCAACTAGCCCCAGAT